ATTTATTTATTTATATGTTTACATGTGTCATTGCTATGTGAAAACACTGTCTTTTCCATATTCCTAGGTGGTTCTTTTTTCCCCTAGATATTACTGTTCAAATTGCTTGGTTTGGATTTCGGTTACTGGGGGCTTTGTACATAGTTGTAATCACGGATGAACTGGAATCTAGATGGTCTCATTCAGGTTTTACTTGATAATATTATTATCTTTGTTCTTGGTTTGTTTAAATGATCTTGTGTTCATTTCATTTCCATTTTAGAAACAATAAAATGTGTTTCTTTGACACAAAATTGTGTTGTCATTGTATGCTGTTTGTTGAAAAAACAAGAGCCTTGTCTATCTCAAATGCAGAAGTGTGTTTTGAAGAATAGTTTTAGTAAGGTTTTACAGCGCTCGCAACTACAGAAGGTCATACATGAGCGCTAAGGGGTGGATGTCAACAGAGAAGTCCAAACGGGGAACCAGGCTTACTCTAGCCTCAAAAACACAAAATCTGCTTCGACTATCAAGGCACCCTGGAAATAGCAGTTCACAAGAGAGTGACAAACATGCAAAAGGAGCAGAAGAAAAATGACGATAGTAAGGATGAGGAAAGAAAAAGCAGCAGTTCCCCCTATATTGTTCCGGCACAGTATGAGCATGACATTGATAAATCAGCCCATTTACAAATATACTGTGGTTAAGAACATGTTGATATCCCTCCCCCCCCCTTTGGGAATGGCCTAAAGACACCTTCAGTCAGTAGCACTGCCCTTGGGGTGGGGAGGGGGGAGTGGAGGGGGAGCGCGGCCTGGGAAGGCCTGATACAAAATACTGATATACATGCACAGACAAATCAATTAATACAATGTACATTCACCACCAGGATTGGGACGCCAGTTTAAACCGAGAAATCTAACGTCCAATAACTTTATGACTTACTTTTACTTTTTCTTTTTCATCCTCTGTTGTCGTCAAGCGTCGAGGGGAGATGCAGTTTTCTATGGTAGGCCAGCTCCGCAGCTCTTTCAGTTGTGATGTTATGT